TGTGCAGTTGGATGGTTGCTGTGTGTATGTCTGTGTGAGAAGGGTCAGGGTGAATATGTCTATGTTATGTGAGAGATGCACATAATGGTGCTAATAAATCATGACTTTGGCCCATTTTCCTTTTGTAATCATGTCAAAAATCACCAAGGGCACAGATTGTGTACAGTAGACTATCGCTCTATTGTCTCACAAAGCATAGGGACTCATTTATTCTGTCTCAGTGACAGAGAGAGGTTGTAATAAAAGAAAGGGATAGTCCAAGAGAGAGAATGGTCACTGAGAGATGGAAGGAATAGGAGAATAGGATCATGGATCAGATGGTAGAGAATCTTTGTTGGCTGCCCCTCTAAGCTGGCTGTTTCCTTCTCTCTTCCCTGACATACACACAAGTTTGCGTGTGTGTGTGTGTGTTTGAGAGAGATGTTTTAATATATGTACGGATGATCTAGAATTTTTCCACTTGGATGGTAAATATTTAGGAACCTCAACAAAATATATGATTTAAAACGAATTGTAACTCTGATTCTCATTAAAATATAACTTTAACAAACTCAATGTTGTAACGAAAACATGTAGCATAATCCTAAAAAAAAAATTGCCAAATAAAATCACTTGTGACAGGTGCATTTTCTCAGATCACTGTTCTTTGTATAAATGCAAGGAAAAACATCTAAATAATTCCATTGTGGTGCAATTTTGGACCAGTATACTGTATATGGCTTTATAGGGCATACATACAGCATTGACCTCTTCACCTTTATGCCAAATAATTCAGAAAATCAAAGACATGTTGACTACATGAATATGATGTAGGCAAAACCACATTAAACATGATTTACTTCTTTCTGAGATGCGGCACAGGGCAATAAAAGAGGAGACATACTAAACATGGGATCACGTCTTTGTGACTGGTTCACGCTTACTGCACACAGTTGCTAAATTAAGCTGGCTGCAATGACTACAGATTCACAGGATCTTGTGCTGTGCAATTAGATCAGGCCTCTGTTGTTTGAAAAGAGCGAGCTAATGCACAGCTGATTGAGTAGATTGATGTGTCCTTCACTTAAGGATTTCTGTGTCTGCATTGATTTCAGGTTCTCACTGATCACAGGACTGCACATTTCCATTTCCATTCATCCTGCTGCCTAATGGTTGTCTCTCCATCACCTCCACCTTGTTCTCCTTTTGCTTTATATCTCTTGTACAGACCCATAAACAGTTGCATTTTCCTTTTCATTTAGCCTACACATATGGGTATTTAAACTCTGAACTACTTCTTCTGGGAACACTGTTATCTTTCTGATGTTCTACATCTCCAACATATGTGCCTGTGTGTGCGGACAGTCTCGGACAGTTTTTCTTTTATCTTCACATCGTAGAGACGAGTGGAGTGCAGAGCGCACTACTAAAGTGAACACTGTGGATGCTTCTAAATTGAGGATTTTATGGAAATTGAAGTAAATGATACATTTCAGGGAAATTAGGGAGAAACCCACACTTTATTTATAAATGTCTCTTTATATTAAAAAGTTGTCCAGGATTATCAACATATGATTCTATATTCTTAATAATTTACTATGTAGAGAAAAAGGAAATCAGAAAGAAAACAGAGAACTAAAATGCAACAAATGTACACAGTTTATCCCTATTGAAGTATAGTAAATACATGTTATTAATATATTTAAGGAAATTAATTCAGGAAAATATATTAACTTTAGAGGAATTAAATAAGAGAAATTAAGGAGAGATTAAAAAAAATAAGTAGTTTGAGTTGCATGCATTTGAAGCCTGACAGTAATTGTCTTGAAATATACTAAAGCAGTGAATTTATTACAGATGCGGCACTTTGATGACTGTAAATTGGTTTAGTATAGAGATGTAATCTTTCTAATCTTGCTGCAGTATTGCATTGTACAAACAAACCCTTGTTGTGATTTGCCCAGCACTTTTTTCTCTGGATGGTTTTGGAGGCTGTCAGTCAGCATAGACCTGTGTATGGTACTTTAAAACACGTGATGTGCTACAACCACTAAAGAAGAAAAAAGAAAGTCATCTACTGTACACTAATCACTAATTGACTCATTAGCTGTTGAATGAGTTGACCATCCTGTCCCATCCCAACTCTAAATGTTGAGTGTATACATGCCTAATATGTCCTGCTTCTGTACTGCACGTGTGTGACAAAGCCTAAAGGTGTTTTCAGTCACAGATCCCAGAATGCTGTACGTCACATTGCTTTGAGGCAGATTGTATTCTACTGCCTAATGGATAGTGAACCCGAGATCCCTCACACACACAGGCTCTCTCACTTTTTGTTTCTCTGTCTCTCATTTACCATGTCACACTATCCCTTCAGTAATGACATCACCACATCACATCCCAGTTCTCGAATCCCCATGTCATCAATCTCTCCTCACACAGTTAGACCACAGCACTGACAGGTCTGGCCTCACCTGAGGAGTCAGAGGTTTAGGCATTCATGGCATGCACTTGATTCACAATGTAGATGCCTATTGGCCTTTTGCAGCCCACATTATTTGTTGTGTACACAACATGCACTATTATAAAACAATGCCATACACACCTAATTGCTCATACTGTTACTTATCTGTCATCATCAATATTTTGATATACTCACACGTGAGAGGGGCTATTTTTATATTTTTGTTTATGCTGTTTCATCTAATATTTATATTTTATTTCAATTACCAGGGGGAAAATGTAATAGTTTTATTTTTAGTTTCACTTAACTAACTGGGTCTTAAAACAAGATTTATTTTAAATCTATGAATTTTGATGAAGAAGACCATTTAACTTTGAAGTCAGATTTGTTGTCCCACAGCAAACAGCACACCTTGAATACACACACCTCTGATCCACAGTATTGGCAAAACAGATTTGCCCTTAAAGTTATGTAACAACCCTTGACCTTTAGGTGTAATGGCCCGTGATTGTGTCTGTGTTTCAGTGTTACAGATTCCAGACATTTCTTATTGCTCTGTCAGGGAGGGACAGTCAACAATCTCTATTGGCTGTTCAGCGTGTCACATGTGACTTGTGTATATATAAGCCATTTGTGAACTCCTTTATTGATATATAGAGAACATATGCTATTAAAACTAAATTGAACAACCAAAGTCCAGTTAATCAGGTTTAAATGAGGCTTTATATATTGTCATTGCACCATAGGGAACATCCCAAGGTTCAAAGTAACATTTGACAAACGTATTAATTTTCAAAGAATATAGCCTTGAGACAACAGTTTAGAGAGGTAACTGAAAAAAAAAATCCAATGAAAGCTACAAAATACCCTATATTAATCTGGAAGTTTTTTTAAAACACCAAATCATTATTGGGAATTTTTAGTTAACAGAAATGCATCATGTTAGGACTTATTGAAAGTTTAAATGGATCAAATTTGAAAATAACAGCAGAGACATATAGCTCAACCAAGCTTTATTTACATGCGCACCATTTTATACAAACTAGATTACAATTCAAAATGGAGTACACAGGAAAAATACTCACAAACATAGTAGAGAAGCCATAAGATAAGAGGTAAAAGAGCAAAGGTGAGGGAGGAAGGCTACGACCAGGGTGGTAAAATGTGCAAACAGTGGTATTTTCTGATTATCACGGTGGGCATAGTAAATAAAACCTGTAATGTTTGAGGATCTGAAATGGTCATCTGAAAAAAAATGTAGAGGTGTAGGCCTAAGTATACATGCAAGGCAGTTTTTGAGATGGAGAGAATAATGTTTCTAAAATAATTTACAAGGTTCAGCTGTCTTATATGGGTGATTTTCCAATTCATTGCATACTGGATATCATCAGTTACAATGTGAGTTTGAAAAATAAATATGATGAAAGCAGAGGATTTAGGGTGTGGAATCATGGTGTAAAGCAGGTGTGTCAAACACACAAGTAAAATTATGCTAAAACGTTAGCATTTATATTATATCCGTTGTTTTGTAAAAATGTTTTTGCTACAGCAGGACATCTAAACACTATAATTAATGTTCTTGCATCTAAACTTCTCTTTTCATGTCAATGTTGTTAGATAATTATTCTCGAATTAACAAAATTTGTGATTATTTTATCGAAAGGTGTGTGAAATGATTACATTTCATCTGCTCTCCTTTTGTTTTAACACATTGGTTATTCGAGTGGACTTTGTTCGTTTGTGAAGTGCATGCACTCTGAAAAAGTTAAATGCATACAGTAACGTTTAGTTTGACACCCCTGCAACCATGTCTGTCCAACTCCCTATTTAACAATTCCATTATTTTGTTCAACACGTGGACTTTGAAAGATATATTTGTATTATCACTACATTTTATAAGTATAGCAGGATGTATACATATATATGCATTGCACACGATGCATATGTACATTTACATGCATGCATACATGGAAGTATGCAGTGAAGGTTAACCCTCTCTGGGGACAGAGACACAGAACATTAGGATTTGTACATGATTTGTGATAATAGTTGAGCACAATAAAGACATTAATAAACTGACATCAACACAGGATGGATTCCTGTTGCTTCATCTCCTTACTTCAGAAGACTGTTGTTCATATACAAATGTTCATAAAACATTTCTGAAATTGTGTACAGCCAGGTTGCAGTTAATTCAAGATGAGGCCCTGATGTTGTAATGTAGACCCCACTCTCCCCTGAGCAATAGTGATGCATTTTGCATACAGAGACAGAAAAGTCCCCAAATTTCACTGTCTTTTGTGAGTTTGGCTGCCAGCATCTCCTACATTTTCAAGTAATTTGGCAAATGTACAAAAGAAAGCTTATTGTTTTTGCTCAGTAAAGATTGCCTCCAGAGGAAAGGCCCATCCACCATTGAATGTTGCCATGATGCTAATCATTAATCCTAATTAATTATGCTATGTCCTTGTGGCCAGGGAAACACAGATGGCCTTAATAAAGGACAGGGATCAACACTGATCATTTAGCACCTGGTATGGCATGGAAATGTCCACAATGCAAGTTAATATTTATTTATTCATTACTTTTGGCTACATTTATATGCGAGAAGTCCAAACATAGCTTTGCTGGCTAAAGAAGATGCCTCCACCTGCTAAGCTTTCAATTTTACCACTTTTTTTGTACAGTTACAGACAGTACAAACAAATGAATTACTCCTTATAAGGTTATATTCAATCACAAAAATGTATTAAGTATTATTATGAGGCAACTATATTTCAGATTGGGAACTAACTACTGTATGGTAAAAGTGAATTAAAAACAAAACAATTGATGAAGTGCACTGTCAAGCTACTCCACCTGTGCTCTGAAATCTTTCAGGTCAACTCTTCACCTCTTAGTTGTACTCTTATATTGATCAATGACTATACAGTTGGTGCTTAGAGGATAACAGAAGTAGCCAATCATTATACAAAATTGTGATGGAAAACAGAGCGAGACCCCAGCCAAGAAAACTAAATTTATGACAGAAAAGCTACAACAGGCCTATTTAAACATTTCATTTTTAGATTACTTCACCTCCAACAGTGGGATATTTTCAAACATTGCATAATGATCTGTGAGTTCACTGTTAGTTTGTGTTTCTCCATTGGGCAGTCTTTTGTTATAGTCTGGGTCTGCTTTTACAGATGGACCTGTTAACAGGCATATCATCCAGTGCTTGTCGCAGACAACAATCTTGGCAAAGATTGACTTCAAGTCTTTTGGATGTTTTTTTTTTTTGTGCAGGATTCTTGTAGTTGTTATTTTATTCTTTGTTGTTTTCACTGCAGTTCTGAACCTAGAGAAAGACAAAAAAGTATTGCTCTGTATTAAATAAATGTAATAAGATCAGCAAAACACATCCTGAACAGTAATAAAGAGCCGTTCACACAAAAAGTGGTTTTGCATTCCACTGCACTGCTGTGTGAATGGCTCCTTACGAAATGTTTATTTCCTGCAGTAATGGATCTAAAAAACACCAACAGTACAACTATATTGAAACACTTTTGTTATTTATGTTGGTCTTTATCTATTTGTCTTTTTGCTTCTCCATGGCATGGACAGCTATGTTTATAAACTTTATTTTGGCTCACCTAAGCGACTGCCTTCAGCCAGGCACCCAACTTTGATTGGACTGTTTTGTCCCAGTGAAGTTTCCCACAGGATTCAGACTAACAGCGTTTTGCACCAATGCATCAAAGTTAAAATCCAGTCCATCAGAGTCCATTAATTCAGAGCGGATTATGGAATCCACATCGCAATCCAGACTGCCGTTAAACATGTCCAGGTCCAAGTCTGAGGGAAAACGATCTGTTCCTGAGGGGTGACAGATCCCTACCCCGTTACTTCCATTCAGGCCAGAGTAAAGCGATGTCTCGGTCATCAACACGGAGGGCTGTGGCGGGAGGTGCTGCTTTGTGGAGACTAAATTATTAGCATCATTAACTAGACTTTGCGTCCTGTTGTTGGAGAGGGAACGCAAAGCACCCTGGGAATTGGACCCCTGATGGTGTTGCTTTTTCTGGAGGTGGCCGCTTCGCCCATTGAGCACAGAACTGAATGAAGACATCATGGGATCATTACGAAGCATGAGGCCATTGCGAAGACGGGAGTTTTGAGAGGTGACGGCAGTGCTGGCCTGTGAAATAAGTGGGTCTGACTGCGTCATCATAACGTCACTATGACTGTGTGAGATCAGTGAATCAGAATTCAGCAGCTCCTGAAGTGAGTTTCCAAAACAAGAAACACTAGAAAATGATGTTTGCTTGTTTTCCTGGATGGTCTGCATGGGTGTCTGACGCAGGGCTACTGCTGGAGGCCCAAAAATGGGGTTACTGAATCCTCCGGTGTTGTTGCTCACAGTTTGGGATGATGAGGAGATTGGGGGTGATGGAGTGCTCTTGGAGCTAAAACTGAAATTAGAAGACCCTTGAACAACCTGCACTTGTGTAGTGATGTTGTCCAACAGATCAACCATTAGGTTGTCAGCCTCATTGAGATTCATTGTGCCAGTCAGGTCAGCTAGCCCTGGAAGTTCTGCTGGGCACGTTTTGGAGTTTGATGAAGATGATGAGGGAGGAGAGAGACTGCTGGGGCTGGAGTAGAGCATTGGGGACAGGGGTGGGCCGTCTGGCACATCGTCAAGCTCTGGATTGGCCAGAATAGGTGACAGGCGGCCACTCAGGGTGCTAGCATTGGAGTTAGTTCGCGAGCGGAAGTCAGTCCAACAGGATTCCAGTTCATCACTGCTCCGGGAAGTGGGACTTCCTGGCCACTTGGACAGACCACCAGCAGATACATTCTCCAGCGAACCCTCCTGAGCCGCCTGCAGTGCTGCCTTTTTCTTGGCCGCACGCCCACGAGCAGTCTTGGTGTACTTGTTACCATTGTCCATGGAGACTGCACGTCGCCTTGGCGCTTTACCTCCCCGCCCCCCTTCAGGATTGATCATCCACCACGAGCTCTTTCCAGTTCCCTCGTTCTGTACACGGATGAAACGGCTATGCAAGGACAGGTTATGTCGGATGGAGTTCTAGAAAGAGAGCAGACAGAGACCAGAGAAAACAGGTGGTTATAAATCATTCCATCACACACACACACACACACACACACACACACACACACACACACACACACACACACACACACACATATATATGATCCTAAGCATCATTGACAAATATCTTATCTTACCACTCTTGTCAGTACCACCGCTTCCTATACACGGAGTACATGTGATCACAAATTCAAAAGCTAAAGTAAAAACCAACCACGCATTAAAAAGTGATTTCAATAATCTGCATATTGATAGTCGCTCCCTGATGCCCGCAAATTATAGGCCTATAGACACAGACTATGTGTGATTGCGAATTTAAAAGCAAAACTAAATAAAGAGAGTGCGCATTCAAAAGCCCCCCACCACCCTCGGTGTTATTGGTAATACCAAAGTTGTCGCAAGTTTATATATCTGTGTTTATATATCGGTGTGAAAATTTCCTCACCGTGACATCCCTAGTACATATTTACACTGCATATTTTGTGCAAAATGAGAACTACTGGTGTCACAAGTCAGCTTTGTTGAGAAAAGACGTAAAGATCTAAACAGATCAAACAGACAATTGATCTAACGTACAAGAGACCAAGATAGTTCTCCATCCCATCTCATGACAACTAAAGAACAGGTACTGTTCAATGCTAATGAATAGGAAACCAGTGGAAAATAGATGCCATTGTGTATTACAAGTACAATGTGATCTCAAGAGGTTAAAAAAGTACAATGTGCAGTAGGGCTGTAGTCAACCAAAGAAATCCTTAGTCGACCAAAGTCTTGTCCTGCGCAACGATTAGTTGACAAAAAAAAAAAAAAAGACGCGATGTTTTGATTGAACATTTTTTAACAATTGTCATAGAGCATTTATAAAACAACAACGAAAAAACATCAAAAATACATAAAACTATAATAATAATACAATTCTTTGAAAATTAAGTGATTTTTTTTAACTGCAAAAAGTGAGGAGCACTGTCCTAGGTCTATAGTGACAGTCACAATCGCGCACCTGACCACACCACACGCTACAAAAAATATAACTGCTATCTGCCACAATGAAAAATCCTAACAAAAGCTCTCGTTTATACAGGCTGTAGGCTATATTCTTTTTTACTTTCAAAGCTATAGGTTAACTTTTGTCCAGCCTATCTAGGCGTTTTAAAACAAACACACACAAAAACCCAAAGAGCCTAAAAAACAATCCTAATAATAATAGGCTTTATTGTAGGACCGCATATAGGTTTATTTTCGTTTTGTTACATTATTTAGGCTATTTTCAAATGCGTCAAGTGTACAAATAAAAACAAAAACATATCAAGAAAACACAATCTATTGAGTCAGCATGATAAAGCCGTTAAAGGGCCTGCTCACGTCTTTTGCGCGCTCAAGTTCGATTTCAAATGTAGGCGGGTCATTCTATGAAAATGGTGGCTTTTTGAACAGACAACTTTTAAAAAATGTAATTCTTTTTTTTTATACCAAAACTTATAGTCAGATAATAGTTAACCTCTTAACATTATAAATCAACTTAAATGACAGCTTAATGTATTTTTATATTTTTACTACATTACATAAAAAATGCTTGAGCTGCCTTTTTGTCACTGGTGTTACCTATATTTTAGATGAGAATTCAGGCTTTCCAGAATGTAATTTGGCCATTTAATTTGCATACATAATCAAAGACAGAAAAAGTTAATGTAATATTAAGAAATTGTCTTGATTAGTAATAATTTGCTTTAACCAGGTATGTGTAAAGTTCTATTGTGTGACATTTTTCTATTTCTACCATTGTGTTTTTTGTTGTAACATTAGAAATAATTGAGGTTGAGTGATCAAAATTGAATGATCATATCCTTAAAATGCTTACTAATGAACGCAGCAACAGTTAGGTAGATACAAAAACCATATTCTATAAAACTGGGCTACTCTGATGCCAGAACACCAATATCCCATGCAGTAACACCAGTGACGCAATGTAACACCAGTGACGCAATGTGAAACCAATGACATAACATAAGATTATTTCAAATAATTTTTTATCAATTTATTAGTAATATTTATTGTTGAGGCTTTTATGAAACCTTGTGTTGAGAAAAACGTTAGTGGTGTTATTGATTGTCACTGGTGTTATCGTCATGTCACTGGTGTTACCAGCAGCAACAGTAACACCAGTGACGATAACACCAGTGACAAATCTGCAGACAAGATAACATATCTAAGATGGCTACCACAGTAGCTCATACCACACTTCTTAAATTGTAAATAAATCACTTAATCATGCAATTTGAACAATTATTTTAATAAAATTTCCTTTTCCCTTACTATAATCTGTAGAACACCAGTGACACATCTTAAGTCCTCGCATGAAATTATCAAATTATTTATCAAATTGCTAAAAGATGAAGAGAGAGTGCAAACTCACCATGTGCTTTTCAAAACAGCCCCACCTCCAAATTAAGAAAAGAAAGTTGGAAAGAAGTTGGCAAGGATGTTGCATTATTTCAAAGTAGTGGTTTTTATCAGTTGTAACACCAGTGACATGAAATTAAGGGACAGCTATTCCCTGTAAATTATTTATAATATTTAGTTAATATTTTAGTTTTTTAAGTAGTCCACTAAATAAATATACTACTTTTCTTTGTATTATGACATTTAAAGGGGGAGAAAAATATATTTTTTAAATCAAAATACGTCACTAAACCACGACTCCTGACCAGAGGGACAAGCCAATTTCATGGTACTGACCGTGTTCTACAATATATTAAAAAAATTGTTTGCAATATAACTGTCTTACAAATGTTTTATTAACAATAAAACACTTCAATTAAAACAAAAAACATATATTTGGTGTCATTATCTGACATTTTTAAGTGTTTTTCCTGGTGGTTAAGGCCGGGACAGGAAAGCCACCATTTTCGTAGAATGACCCAGGCGCGCGGTGTGCGCTAATGATGGAAGCAACGGTCGCGGTGCGACGCGCTCTTTTTTTTCCAAGTGCGTCCACGCAGCATCGAGATACAAACATATAGTGTATAAAAACATAAAAACATAAAAACCGAAACAAGTAGCGTTCTAACTGAATACAGCTAAACTACCTATATCCCTTACTGAGCACGAAGCAGCAGCGCAGCCAGCCACAGGTGCGAACCGAGTGTTCTATGTGTGTGCGCTAAACTGTGGCGCTGTACAAAATAGCCTAAATTAAAGCATTTAAAGTTGGGGATAAACCATAGGCTAATTATATTTGGAATACAGTAATATTTAACTGCTTATAAAGGAATAAATATCAAGGAGTAAATCATTGAAAATTTCTTTCTATTGGTAAAAAAAAAAATGCAACTGGTCGACCAATAAGAATGTCAGTCGACCAAGACGGCATCGACCGATTAGTCGACTAAACGACTAAAGTTGACAGCCCTAATGTGCAGGTTAACTATATAACTTAGAGGAAACATTTCATAGCCGGTAACCTTGGCAGAACAAACAGGTTACATTTCTATAACATTATCTTTTTCCCCTCAATAATGCAGTAGGCTGCAGTGGGATATACAGAAGTCAATAAATGCTAGAAATGTAAATGATTATATACATTCTAATATACAATGTGCCTTGTTATTTATAACTCTCACAGATACAGAGCTTAGTTCATGTTGATGTCACATTTTTACCCCGTCTTATGACTCACAAGGTGCGTGTGTGTGTCTTGAGCTATGATGAGCGATACCACGGATACCGGTGTTTACAGTGCCAAGTCCCTCTAGAGATTAATGACATAATGTTTGTGTGTGTGAGGGAAAAGAGGCGTAAGGGTATGACTAAAACCTCAATGGAGCAGCATGTTGTGAATGAAGTCATTAAAACCCATTCATTTTCTTCCTCCACTTTCTTGGCAGCTCTAAACAAACTTGTGGCACTGAAACCAAAAACAAACTTGTGCCATTTACACCAAATGCAGTACATTTTCTCCTGTCTTTCCAAGCATATACCTCCCTTATTTCAACTGCTTCTTTTAACTGTCACTTATTGCGTAATCCTGCTCTAGGCAAGGCCCTCAGGAGAGGTTCTTAATAAGTGTTAATTGAGTGCCTATGCGTGTTTTGATTGTCAGAGTATCAGTGTCTTTGTGCTTGGCTTTTCAGAGCTGACTCATAGCAGCTCCACTGCCCTTGAACTAATTTTTTTTATTTGTGGAGGAAGCCCCGGCTCAAACATAACAGTATCCATCCATACACATTACACTCTCAATAAAATGCTCACTACGCCCCACATACAAACTATGAGATGAATATGAGAAGTGCAAAGCACACACCCAGTAAACTCTATATTTATACTCTCAGTCAGAAAACACATACCCGCACTTAATCTGCAAAGCTAATCCTTTCAGCCTGAAACTAATGGGACACAAATTTGTCTTTTAATGCTAAAAAGATGACAAAATCTAAAGCAAAATCAGTTTTCACCTGTTGTGTTTAAATTGAACCCATTTTGTTTAAATGTCTAGTCAGTACGATGTGTACTATCTCTCAGCACACATGTGAGTGTAGGGGAGGCTGTTAACTGAGCGCCCAGCTGCACACTGAAACTCTTTGGAATACAGAGACCTTTTTGTCCATCAGCAACATGTGGTAACAATCCATCAATGTCAGCAGCCACGCAATACACACACACGCAACTATGGCTTCGCTCACATTCTTCTTCTGAGAGATGTGTTTTGGTTATCTGGTGCTCTCTGTGAATGTTATTGCGCTCTGGCTGGTCATTTTTGTGATGTCAGGAAGCCAGTGACTACACAAACCTATAACCAGCAGGCATTTGCCCACAAATCAACCAAACCAAAACCATGGTGTTAGAAAGGACAAAATTAGTTTGATTAAAGGTACATTTTAAATATTAAGACAATCTAAATGTAGGTTTGTTCTAATGTTGCTGTTGAGTCTAGGTCAGGACAATAGCTAAAATGAACGAATAAAGATGGATGGAAAGAA